CTGGAACTGTGAGGAGCAACTGGTCCGCTGACCTCAGGGAACGAGGTGGGACATACAGTTGTAGCAGATCAGAGAGATGGGTGGGGGTGGGGGGGGGGGGGGGGGGACTGTTCGGCAATTTGTAGACATACAGGAGTATTGTGAACTGGATTTCAAGGTGAACCGGTAACCAGTGCAGTGAGGCCAAAACTGGTATAATGTGCTCTCTTTTGCCTGTACTGGTTAAAAATCGGGCTGTTGTATTCTGGACCAGTTGTAGTCGTGCAATGGAGGTCTGACTGATACCAAACAGGAGTGAATTGCAGTAATCAAGCCTAGATGTTATGAATGCATGTATTACTGTCTCCAGGTTATTTTTGGACAATATGGGCTTCAGTTTAGACAGCCGCCTCAGTTGGAAGAAACATGATTTAACAATGTTTACATGATTGTTAAGTTTCAGGGAAGGGTCCATTATCACGCCCAGATTAGTGACTCTTTGTTTTTCTGACAGGGTTAGAGTGGAAAGGTCGATGCAGTGGTTTGTGATCGTGTCGTTGGGAGGGAACAACATGACTTCAGACTTTTCATTGAAACTTAAGAAATTTAAAGTCATCCAGTCCCTGATGTCAGCCAGGCAGTCGAGCAGAGGTTGAATAGAGTAGGTAGGAACAGGTCAAGAATCATGTTAAGATAGAAATAATATCAAATGAAAACTATTCAATTTTAACAATTCATTTAAGGAAATGAGGTAGTGGTGCAGAGGTTAGAGAAGGTGGGCCTGTGATCGGAAGATCGTTGGTTCAACTCCTGGTACCAACAACATCAAAATGTGGGTGGGATAGGTGAAACACCCACAACTGCCTCTACCCTCATTCACCCCACTCTGGGCCCTTGAGCAAGGCCCTTAAACTTCACCATCTTCTCCTCCGGGTGTCCTAGATAGCAGCTCTCTGCTCCACACAGAGGGCTGTGGTAGCTCAGTGGTCTGTGGTTGTGTCAGGAAGGACATCTGGTGTAAAAATATTTGCCAAGTCATCGTACAACTTAGTTCGCTGTGGCGATCCCTGAAGAAGGGAGAAGCTGAAAGAAGAAGGAAATCAAATTAAGGAAATTAAGTTCTGTTTATCCTCTAGTAGTCTAAGCTTAAGGCAGCATAACAAGCCAACCCCAACTATAGGATTCATCAAAAAGGAGAGTTGTAAACCCAGTCTTAAAACTGGACAATGTGTCAGCCTCATGGACAGAAACTGGAAGTTGGTTCCACAAGAGAGGAGCCTGATTTCATGTTGCTGCTGATCTGTTTCATGTTGCTGCTGATCTGTTTCATGTTGCTGCTGATCTGTTTCAATGTTGATGTGTTCATGCGTGCACATCTGCTCACAGACTCATGTTCATGTTTGTGCTGATGTTCAATGTTTTATGTTATGAGTGCTTAGTGTATATTTAGTTGATGTTTTTCTTAGTTCTTATCTTAGATGTTATTACTGTTTTTCTTATACATTTTATTGTTGGATGTAACTGGGACCCCATGTACATAATTTCGCTCCACCACATGTACCACATGAGGTGCGAATGACAATAAAGAAACTCTGACTCTGACTCTGATAACTGAAAGAGCTGCCTCCCATTCTGCTTTTGGAAACTCTAGGAACTGCAAGTAAACCTGCAGTCTGAGAGCGAAGTGCTCTGTTAGGAAAATATGGAACAATAAGATCTGTAATATAATATGGAACTAGGTTGTTGAGAGCTTTGTAGGTTAGCAGTAAGATTTTGAATTCTATTCTGGATTTGACAGGGAGCCAATGGAGAGAAACTAAAACTGGAGAGATATGATCTCTCCCACTAACTCCAGTTAAGACTCTGACAGCAGCATTTTGGATCAACTGAAGACGTTTTAAAGATGTATTTGGACACCCAGATAATAAACCATTGCAATAGTCCAGTCTAGATGTGACAAATGCATGGACCAGTTTTTCTGCATCATTTTTAGATAAGATGTTTCTAATTTTAGTGACATTACGCAGGTGGAAGAAGCAGTTCTAGTAACGATTTTAATGTTTTAAAAACTGTCAGGTTTGTGAGATTCAGAGTAAACATCTGTATAATGAAGTTCATGTTTTATTTTTTGAGCTTGTCTTTTTTACAAGTGCTGAGATAGTTCAATATCTGTGTGGAGATTAAAATACTTTTTTTTTCATATCCAGAAAAACTATTCACTACAGAGAAACTGTCTATTTTGTAATTGTGTTTACACAAAGATACACAAGTTAGTAAAGGGTGTCATGAGATGAGCCTAATTATCCTCCATGAAACTTTTGCAGATGAAAAAAAAAGAAGAGTTTTTGTCAAATAGTTCATGTTTTAGTTTGTAAAGTTTCTTTAGAGTAAAATAAAATCATCTTATAACGAGGAGGAACAAAGTCATAAGCAGTTTGGTCACATCTTGTAAATGACGATATGATATTGAGAGATGTGTTATCTCACAGAACATATTGTGGATGACTCTCAGCTACAACCTTGTTCATATTTAGATCAATCATCAATATCTTAAAAATAAACAGTTGTCGTGTTTGTGTTGGCTGATGTTGATCAGCTGTGGTCATCACGTTGAACTGGTTTGGCTCCAGATGTAATAAGTTGTAGATGTAAAATCAGTGAATAATTTCTATTGGTTTTGACAAAACATTCTGAGGTTCATAACATATTTTAATAACAGACAAATATTTTGATGTTAACGGTTAATACCAAATATTTACATACAGTGGTGCTTGAAAGTTTTTGAACTCTTTATCATTTTCTATATTTCTGCATCAATCTGACCCAAAACATCATCAGATTTTCATACAAGTCCTAAAAGTAGATAAAGAGAACCCAGTGAAACAAATGAGACAAAATATTATACTTGGTCATTTATTTATTGATGAAAATGATCCAATGTTACATATTTGTGATGGTAAAAGTTTGTGAACCTCTGGGATTATCAGTTAATCTGAAGGTGAAATTAGAGTCAGGTATTTTCAATCAATGGATGATGATCAGGTGTGAGTTTCACGCTGTTTGATTTAAAGATCAGGATCTATCAAAGTGGCAGAACGGTGGTGCAATTGGTAGAGCTGCTGCCTCTCAGCAAGCAGGTCCCTGGTTCAAATCCTGGTCCAGGGGCGTTTCTGGGTGGAGTTTGCATGTTCTCCCTGTGCTGTGTGTGTTTTTCCCCACAGACCAAAAACATGCATGTTGGATTGATTGGTAACTCTAAATTGTCTGTAGATGTGAGTGAGAGAGTGAATTGTTGTTTGTCTCTATGTGTCCCTGTGATGGACTGGAGACCTGTCCAGGATGTCCCTTGCCCCTCTCACACGGTACAGCTGGATATGGGCACCAGTGACCCCCACAACCCTAAAAGGAATAAGCGGGTAAAGATAATGGATGGATCTATTAAAGTCTGCTCCTCACAACACACTTAAGCATCATCAAACTGGTTCACCCACTATGTGAAGGTGCTATTTATAAGACTGAGTTTGTTGTGGCTCCTCAGACTGAAGAAGTCCTTTAGATTAAAGACGAAACGTTTCAACAACAACAACAACAAAATAAATAAAAACATTTAGAGGACCTGACTTAACACTGTTGGATTTTTAAACTTGGATTATTGAGCATGAACATTGATAAATGTTTGAGTTACTGTGTTTGCTAAGGTCAGCTGCCTGTGGCAGTCATCTTGGATTTGATTATTTCAAAAGTTAATCAATTCTAGATGCACACGAAATCATTACTTTCAGATAATTTTATTTATTTTTTAAATCAAATGCACACAATTCTGTCAAATGGGAGTGGGGAGTGGTGGTGCAGAGGTTGGAGAGAGTTGGCCTGTGTTCGGAGGGGCCGATCAACTCCCTGGACCAACATCAAAATGTGTGGAAAGGGGCACCCTAGCCCACTGTGCCACTGTGCTCCCATGCGCAATGGGAAAAAAATCCAGAGAATTAATTTCCCCAATGGGGATTAATAGAGTAAAAATATTTTTTTAAAAGTGGTTCAAGAGATATTTTTTCATCCAACCTTTATTTATACAGGTTAGTCTCATTGAGTCACGAGGACACAGTTACAAGAGAGACCTGTTTTATTATTATTATATTATTATAATTATTTTACAAGTGTTGAGTTCAAGCTAGAATATTTCAATGTGTGCTCACATCTCTTGTCTTCAATATGTGTAAAATCGAGTGTTTTCAAAAGTTGGTTGGCTGTGGCGGCCATCTTGAATTGGGTTGACTTTAAAAGTTCAGTTATCCCATAATTACTTTATGAGAGTGTCACTGCTTCATGAAATGTTTTCTAACAAACTGACACGCAGACGGTGTTCCTTTTGGCGGCAGCACACGCACGCGCGCACACACGGATTATCCTCTGCCCACTCCTGAACCTGTTCAGGGGGAGTGGCTTGTTTCAGGCTTGTCCAATCACGCGGCAGGAGCACTTATCGCACTTTATTTCGTGCTTCAGTCAAACGCTTGAAGCCGAGTTTAAAGGCAAGGAGAGGTTTTCCTGTGTGGCACGTGCACGCGGACAGCTGGAGACAAAGGTAGTGGCACAGCGTGCACGAGACCGAAAGGATGCTCCAAATCAAAGCCAACAGCAGGTTTTTCCTTCGTGTGGACGCAGCTGTGAATAAATGATTCTTCTGTTTGTCGGAGTTGGAGCTGATCAGCGCGCGAGGACAAACCTGAAGTCATTTAATCTGAGTTGGACCAGGAGGTCTGATCTGTTACAACTGTTGCTGAGCCCGACCAGGAGCCACAATGTGTGTGTGCGCGCCACCAGAACCAGGTCCCCGCGCGCAGTGAACATGAAAGACAGAGTGATGTGGTGCTGATGCAGCAGCTCCATCACCTCCGGCTGATGCTTCGTGTCTGACTAACACGTTCCGGTTCGGTTCTCTCCACACTTTGGATCCCGAACTTCCGGACAAAGGCTTCGTGAACCCCGCACGCTTTGTGCAAACGTGACCTTGGATCTTAATGATGATGATGATGGAGAGCAGCATGATGGGCGCGCATCAGGTTCATATCGATTCAGAATTCGATCCCCACGGATGCACCTGGCCGCGTCCGGTGGGTTTCCCCGTGGCAGAAGAAGAGGAAGAGGAGGGGGCGGCGGGCCACGCCGGAGGGCCGGCTCTGATCAAAGTGGAGCTGTATGAGGTCCCCGCGTGCCGCGCGGGGAGGAAAGGCGCGCCGGCTCCATCCTGCGTGTCCGGCGCGTCGCTGGACGTGGCCGGACAGCTGCGCAAATCCAAGTCCTCGCGGCGGAACGCGTGGGGGAACCTGTCTTACGCGGACCTCATCACGCGCGCCATTGAGAGCGCCCCAGAGAAGAGGCTGACTTTGTCCCAGATTTATGACTGGATGGTTCGCTTTGTTCCTTATTTCAAGGATAAAGGAGACAGCAACAGTTCCGCCGGATGGAAGGTAGGCCACGTGCGAACAAACCCTCCTGTCACGCGCTCAAGGTTGTAGCTGAGTCTTTTTGTCTTAAACTCTCTCTGTGCTTGACTGAAAACCACAGCTAACCGTTGGCTCCGTGTCTCTGTCCCGCTCCACGTGACAGCGATACGGGCGCGAGCGCGCCTGGATCAGGGTTCACTGTCTTCATCGTGTTTAGGGCTCGGATCCGGTGCGCGTGCAGCTAAACTGCCATGCTCATCAGTTCTGTTCTGTTGGGAAGGCTCATCTGTAAAGTCTCTGTCCCTCCGGGTCACATGGAGGACAGGTTGTCCCTCCGGGTCACATGGAGGACAGGTTGTCCCTCCGGGTCACATGGAGGACAGGTTGTCCCTCCGGGTGGAGGACATGGTGTCCCTCCGGGTCACATGGAGGACAGGGTGTCCCTCCGGGTCACATGGAGGACAGGTTGTCCCTCCGGGTCACATGGAGGACAGGTTGTCCCTCCGGGTGGAGGACATGGTGTCCCTCCGGGTCACATGGAGGACAGGGTGTCCCTCCGGCTGCTCGAGCTCAAAGCTTCATCCTTCTCCATTGGTTCAGGACGCGCACTCGGATTTACGCGCAGGCTCAGAGCTCCCAGTAATGAGGCTGATGGTTGCAGTGAAAGCTTCCAGTCAAATGAACACGAGGTTCTTCTAAAACTTGCTTCAGTTTTTGTGTCTAGAGATCATTCCTTTTGTTTTTAAGTCCTGCACTGTGGCTTCTTTCTCTGCACTTTTATTTATTTGTTATTATTTTTAATTCATATTTCTTTTTTTTTTATTATTTTTACTTTTATCCAGGAGTGTCTGTCCTTCAAATATGAACATGTCTCAGAAGTGATAGAAATCTCCCATTAGACAAAACTGATAGCCCGAGAGAACAAAAGAACACAGTTCTGATTGTCAGCAACATGTTTAGAGTATGGTTCAGTTTTTGACCCACACATTCAAGGAGCCATTTACAAAAAGAATAACTTTTAAACTGATAATGAACACAAAGAATAGAAACATATGCACTGTTTTATTTATTCACAACTTTATTCTTTGACAGTTTTTAAGCTGATGATGTCTGAAAACTGTTTAAGAACCTCCAATTAGTGTTTTATGACCCAAATTGAGAAACTGGATCCAAGTATGAAGTTAGAGCTCAACAACTATGAATTTACAAAAGTATCATTATGAGCTCTCATTTTGAGTAAAATAGAGAAATGACATTTTCGAGCTTAATGCTTAATGTAGCAACAGGTTTGCTAAAATTAGCAGAACAGTAGCTAAAAGTAGTAAAACACAACTAAAGCAGATTTCAACAAGATGTTTGTTTATGAGTGTGTTAATAACCCGTTACAGGAAATTGTTGCATTACAGCAGCAGTGACGTTTGACATAAAACAAAGAGAAAAAACATAATGTCATATAATAAAAGCTGTATGATCGCTTTTATTATTGATCTATATACAATGTGGTATACAAGATGAATGAATGAATAAGTGAATGGAGGTTCTGGTTTGTTGTTGATAATGATTTGTGGGAAAAATATATTTTTTATTTTTGGGTTCTGTCCTACACCTAGGAGTTATTTTAATGTCTTAATGTCTTGTGAATATTTTATGTGCTGACTGTGAAACAAATTGTCCCATGGGGATAATAAAGTTTCTTGAACTTGAACTTGAGGGCAGCCTGTATCTGAAGGTGCTGCTCTGTAAAACCCCAAGGGTTTTTATTTTAAATGAAGGAGGTGCATTTTTTCCTGTTAATAACAGAGATAACTAGTTCTTACGCATACAGAGCAGGAAACATGGCGTGTTTCTGTATTAGACTTCATATAATGTCAGCTGGTGGTGAACTATTAGAGCTGGACTGTCAGCTTGGTGCAGTTTCTGCACTTCTGTAACTTGAAAAACGTTGCACTCAGTGAATTGTCTCCGTGCTGTGTTCAGGTACAACATGCAATTTCAGCAATCTACACAGTCATTTAACAGTAGCCCACATTACTTACTGCTGCTGTAAAATTTTATCATGCAAGGAAACAAACATGCAAGAATAATAATGAAAATTGTAAATGTAAATCTAATCAAACCTTCATATTTTAAGTGTGGGTAAGAGTGTAAATTGTCTGTTTGTGTCCCTGTGGTCGACTTGCGACAGGCCCAGGTTATATCACGCCATTCACACAATGACTACTAAAGAATGGCACCAGGTTCCCTGCAACTTCTGTAAAGAAGCAGCTAAAGAAAATAGACTGATCAAATGAAAGGCCCTGTCACACAGTGACAGGGTGTGCAACAAATGAAAAGAACAAACAAACAAACAAACATGCTGGTGTAAGTCATATAAGTTAGGTGTAAGTTTTGAGTCAGTTACCAGCATGCTGATAAGTGATGATCAGCCAGTAATTTGGTCATGCACCAAGTTTTCACCATATGCATGAAAAAGGTTAAGTCATGTCATCTGGACCGTTTCATCCCCCCATCCAGAGGACTTCTTCAGCCTGCCAACCAGATCTGTCCCACAGGTAGCCTTCACTGCTGTGTTTCAAGACAACCTCCTGTTGGAATCTCAGAAGAGGTTGTCTTGAAACACAGCAGTGAAGGCTACTTATGGGCTGGCAGGCCATAAACAGAGGAAGTCCTCTGGATGGGGGACGAAACATTTCCCACTTAAAGAAACTGGTCCAGATGACATGATTTAACCTTTTTTGTTGTTGTCTACCTGGATGATTGAGCTTACAAACCTTTTTCACCACATGCTGGCGTGTTGCTGACAAGTTAGGTATAAGTTACAGGTATGTGAAAGGTAAGTTGGTAAGGTACATATTACATATAAGTTTCAGAAGTCAGCTAGGCAATTGTGTACATGCACATAACTTATTTCTAACCTGCGAGCACATTATGCACAATGTTAGTGTTATGTCAAACTTCTGCACAGCATGTTGGAGCATGTTGCAACAATAAAGGTGGCATCAGAAAAGGGCAGCTCTGTGCACTGCCAGACATTAATTGTTGCATTGATCAGCATGCCTCTGGGGAAATCGAACAAATATGTGATCAAGGAAGCTGCAGCAGGATCCTCCAGCTCTGTGCTGACAGTTGTGGACATCTGCACCTCGTGTATCCAGCAGGAGTGATGTGTTGCACATCATTTGGACCTTATAGGTTTGAACCCCAAAAGGTTGGCAAATATGCCAGTTGTACTTTATAAACACGAGCCAGAGCCGACTGTTCATTCTTTATTAATGTAACAACAAAGAGAAACCAGAGAGCTCGAGCTGTTGTCACAGCTACAACTCACGCCAAACCCAATTTTAACCAAACTACCCCTGGTGCTCAGTCACTCTCCTACACATCTCCATGCTTCTCCTCTGCCTCATACACACACATAGACATATCCCCTCCCTCCCCTTTGGACCCAAACCTGGAACATTAACCCTTTAAGGCACAGATATATGTTGCAATACATTGTGAAAATGTCTATTAGATATGTCAGGGTAAGGAGGACCCTCTTACCTCGATGGAAACAAATTGAATTCATGATGACAACTAGACTCTACTGTTTGGGTTGGTGAAATCTTGGATTGTCTACAAATTCGTGTGGATGTGTCGAAGCTTGACAGTGCTCAGACTGAATTTGGGGAGCTGCAGCAGGGAGCTGGAGCAGCTGTTATCAGGACTGTGAACTCACTGGCAGCACTCATGAATGGTGGGAATAATCTTGGAGAAGCTGTGGGCTCGACTTTTATATTCAGAGGAATATATACCAGCGAGACTTTAAAAAAGGCAGAAACAACAATTCATGAGTTCTGCCTGACCCAAACTGTGGCCTTGACACCGGACTTATCTCAACTCCTCCTGGAATGTTTTGAAAACAACAAAGATGCTTTGTCTGTCTCCTCACCCCTCCCTTCCCCAAGGCCATGGACATGTGACAGAACCTCAACTGAGCTGAAGATGAATGTCACCTCTTATCTGGACAATGGCTGAGAGGGGGGCTCTGGACTATGCTACGACTTTCCCTTAAAAATTCAATGTCTTCACCGGCCTATATGTACATGTATAACGTCTGTTTATGTTGCTTTGCTGTGGTAGGTTTTTTTGATGCCTCAAATCGTGCCCTGTCTAGGGCATGGCGTGAGAGATGTTTTTTTATATATTGTCTCTCCTCATGTTTTCTTTCCTTTTCTAATCTAAGCAAAATATTATTCCGAATAAGAATAAGAGGGCCGTGCTGTTTAATAGCCGCAGCTTCGTGCACTCCGCCCATCTTTCGAACGACTGTACGTACATATTCTCATTGTATTTCGGTGCAATGCCAATAAAGTTTATTCTGATTCTGATGACAGACCAAGGTAGAGAGCTGGCTGACATGATGCTGAGAAGGAAGGTAGATGTTTTATGTCTAATAAAGGACTGCAAGGCTCGCAGCATTGGAGCAGGGTTCAAAATGTTTTACTATGGTATGGCTAGAAAGAGAAATGGAGTAGGGGTGGCCCTGAAAGTTGGCAAATAATGTAGTAGAGGTGAAAAGAGTGTCAGATAGGGTGATGTGTCTGACGGTAGTGTTAAAAAAAAAAACTAGAGTTTTAAAAAATTAAAACAATATTCAGCAAATGTTATTTGTTAATTTACTTTTTTATTTAGTTAAATATTTAAATTTCTAGGCAGCACGGTGGCGCAACTGGTAGAGCTGCTGCCTCTCCGC